ATGTTTAACAAAGCAAAGAGATGTCTGATAATATTTTTTCTTTTCTTTTCATTTTTTAAAAACCATTTTAAGGTCAAAACTATTTGCCCCTTTAAGGTTTTTTTTAATGGTCTACAGAACAAACCATTGGTATACAATTACTTGCCTAATTACCCCAACCTGCCTAGTTAACCTAATTAATCTAGTTAAGCCTTTAAATGTCGCTTTAAGCTGTATAGAAGTGTCTTGAAAAATAAAATATTAAAATATTATTTACTGTCATCATGAAAAAGATAAAATAAATCCATTATTAGAAATGAGTAATCAAAACTATTATGTTTAGAAATTTGTTTAAAAAAAATCTTATCTTCATTAAACAGAAATTGGGGGTGGGTAAACAGGAGGGCTCATAATTCAGGGGGACTAATAATAATAATAAAGGTTTTCATGCTAAAACAATCTGAAGTGCATTATGTACTTGATGATATGAAATACTGTTCAGTCAGTTTACAGAAACCAAGATGTTGTGGAAAAATTGATAATTAAGCAATACTATTCCTCTTCAGTGTAACTTTGACAGTATATTACTACAGAAAAAGTCTCCATTTTACCTGGTGAAGCCTAACGAAACTATCAAAAGTGTTTGTATAATAAGATCTCTATAATGAGTATAATTAAATATGTTATATAACGAATGAAAAAAAAAATGTTTATGAAAAAAAAATTACATAAAACTTTAATGTTTTTATGATTTTATATAACAAATGTATGTAGATCATAAAAAAATCAGATAACCCTTATTATTTTAATAAATTATGTTTTTTTATTTTTTATTTATTCATTTTCCCTCTGCTTAGTCCCTTTATTCATCAGGCGTCACAACAGCGGAATGAACCGAGAACTTATCCAGCATATGTTTTACGCAGAGGATGCCCTTCCAGTCGCAACCCATCACTGGGAAACATCCATACACACGTATTCAAACACATACACTACAGACAATTTAGTACCCACACGGACACGAGGAGAACATGTAAACACAGAAATGCTGACCAACTGACCGAGCCAGGACTTGAACCAGCAACCTTCTTGCTGTGAGGCAACAGTGCTAACCATTGAGCCACTGTCAGCCCTGTTTTTATATTGTTGAAGAGTACAATTACAAATATATATCTAGTCTCACCATATTAGATATTCTAAACCTAGTAGGAAACAAATATAAGGTCACAAAAACTAATGAACATTCAAATACAATATATAATACATATAAACTAACATTTAAAATATAAATAAATAAATGTAAATAAATCGACTACTTATTTGTAGCTTATTCTTTTATTTATTTATTTATTTATTATTATATTTGTTATAGCTCTATAACTATATTTGTTCTCTATATATCTATATATTTGTTTATATTTTTATATTTAAAATGTATACATTTTATTTTTACATTTATATTTAATACATTAATAAATAAAAATAAAACAGACTTTTGTAGATCTTTTTGTGTACTTGTTTATAATTATCTGAGGGAATATATGTATATTGTGGATATTTTGTAATTGTGTGTGTGTGTGTGTGTGTGTGTGTGTGTGTGTGTGTGTGTGTGTGTGTGTGTGTGTGTGTATATCTAGTCTTACCATATTAGATATTCTAAACCTAGTAGGAAACAAATATAAGGTCACAAAAACAAATGAACAATTAAATACAATATATAATACATATAAACTAACATTTAAAATATAAATAAATAAATATAAATAAATCCATTACTTATTTGTGACTTATTCTTTTATATTCTTATTTATTTATTTATTTATTTATTTATTTATTTATTTATTTATTTATTATTATATTTGTTAAAGCTCTATAACTATATTTGTTCTCTATATATCTATATATTTGTTCATACTTTTATATATTACATTTATAAATTATATTTGTATATTTATATTTAATATATTCATAAATAAAAATAAAACATAGACTTATAGATTTAGTAACTTAGATTTGTCATGGAATTTAATACTCTCTGCTGATTTGAAGTAATTATTTTATCCATACTTGTAAGTCGCTTTAGATGAAAGCTTTTGCTAAATGAATACATGAAAATAAAAAAAGTGTATTGAAACACATAAGCAAATCAAGCAAACAGTAAGTTTCAGTTTCTTTGCACAAGTCGGGATCATGTAAGAGCCTGCAGTAATGCTGATGTTTTGCTGAGCCTGATGAAATGATTTAAAGTTGCATGTTGTTGTAATTAAAACTCATGGAAACGGCAAATAACAACAAACAAACAGCTCAACCAAACGCACAAAAAGACCAAGTCACCTCTTTGAATCTCAGTTGAAAACAGTAAAGCAAAACACACGAATGACACAGGACGCACACATACAGAAAACACACACGCACACATGCAAACATACTGTAAACCACACAATGAAAATACATACACATACATACACATACACATACTGTACATATGACCTCTAAACCTTTAAAGCTCTGAGTGCCGCAGGTGTAATCTGGTTTGACAGCTGTCACTCAAGGTCTTCAGAAACAGATGGAGATCGTGAGCATTAGAGAAACATATGCGCTCTTTATTTACAGCTAAAAGTGACATCTGTGAGCCAATGAGCGCTTATTACATATCAGTCAAACTATGATTGTGTGTGTATTTGTGTGGAGATTGTAGTTTACAAAACCTGGCTTTTGTGGATCTTTTTGTGTACTTGTTTATGATTATATGAGGGAATATATGTATATTGTGGATTTATATTGGTAATTGTGTGTGTGTGTGTGTGTGTGTGTGTGTGTGTGTGTGTGTGTGTGTGTGTGTGTGTGTGTGTATGTGTTATTTTAAACCTAGTAGGAAACAAATATAAGTTCACTAAAACAAATAAACAATCAAATACAATATATAATACATATAAACTAACATTTATAATATAATAAATAAACAAATAAATAAATGTAAATAAAAATATTTTTAAAAAATAATAAAAATAATTAATAACGAAAAATCTGGTCTACTGTATTAAATATTTAGAATTGGTACTGAACTAAATAAATATTAAAATATCAATATAAAATGATCAGAAAACAACAGCAAAAATAAAAAAAAGTTCTTATTAAATACAAAAAAAGTCACAAAACAACTGAAAAATTAATTGGACAATTAAATACGACATATAATACATATAAACTAAAATTTAAAATAAAAAATAAATTAAAAACAATAATCTGGTCTACTGTATTAGGTATTCTAAATTGGTACTGAACTAAACAAATGGCAAAATGTTAATATAATAAAGTAAAATGATCAGAAAACAAAAGCAAATTAACAGACTTTGGTTAAATATAAAGTACTATAACATAAAAAAACATAAAATTTAAATAAATAAAATTAGGAACAAAAAATCTGGTCTACTGTATTAGATATTTCTAAATTGGTAGTGAACTAAATAAAAGTTAAAATATTAACATAAAATGATCAGAAAACAAAAGCAAAATAAAATAAAATAAATATAAAACAGTCACAAAACAAATGAAAGTTTAAATGAACAATTAAATACAAAATATATTGCATATAAACTAACATTTAAAATATGAATAAAAATAATCATAATAAAATATTAAATACAATATAAAATGTAAATAAAAGATTATTAAATTAAAAAACAAAAATCTTCTGTATTAGATATTCAAAATTGGTACTCAACTTAAAATATGAATATAAAACAAATAAACTGATCAGAAAAGCAAATTTCAAAAGCAAATGATTTATATTACTACTATATAATACTATTTCAACACACAATATAAAAAACAACATTAAATTAAAAAACAAATTAATAACAAAAATCTGGTCTACTGTATTAGATCATCTAAATTGGTGCTAAACTAAATACATTTTAAAATATTAATATAAAAAATGATCAAAAAACAAGCAAAACACTAAATAAAAAAAAAATAAAAATAAAATAAAATAAAATAAAATGATAAAATATTAAATACATTATAATATAGAGTGAATAAAATGACTAGACAACAAAAGCAAAATAAAAAAAATTAATTAAATATAAAAAGGTCACAAAACAAATGAAAAATTAAATAAACAATTAAATACAATAAATTAAATATATAAACAATTTTTTATATAAATGAATTCATACAAACAAATAAAATAACAAAAAAATATATAAATCCATTAATTAAACAAATAACAAATTTAATAATAACAAAAATTAATAACAACAAAAACAATTAAATACAATATATAATACATTTAAACAAGCATTTATGAAATTAAAAAAATGAAATAAAATAAATAAATAAATTTATTAAATAAATAAAAATTAAGAATAAAAACATGGTTTACTCTATTAGAACTTCTAAATAGGTGGTAAGAAAATTATGGTTAAATTATTAATATGAAATAAATAAAATGATCGGAAACCAAAATAAATATAAATAAAAAAATAATCTAATTAAGTATAAAATGCTATTTTAAAGCATATAATTACGTTTAAAAAAATCTAAATAAAAGTTTCCATCTAATAAACACTCCCCTAAGTCTACAGTACTGGAAGAATTATCCTACACTTCAGTGTTAGATTGTCCAACCAATCCAACCAAAGATGGCTCCAACCATCTTTACAGCATTTAAACAGGATTACCATCACTGTACGTTAATCCACAATACTCTAATCTCCGCGACATAAACCACAAACATTTCTCCATCATCCGCACATGCTCCTGCTGCTCTCTAATGACAAACCAGCCATCTTTCTGCTTTCCCTGCTGGATTTACACACACATTTGCACATCCCGTGATCCCTAAAGCCTATGTTTGACCGCTTGACCTTGTTGGAGAGTCATCAGATGTCAGTGTTTGGCTACAGAACTCCTCGAGGGTATTATTAGATGGGATTTCCAAGAAAATGAATAAGCTGTGATTGTCAAATGCACTCTGTTGGGGTTACGAGGTCAATATGTCGGGTTTTAAAGCGTCTGACCTTGTCAAGCTTGGCTTCAATCTCCACCACCTCCGTCTCCACCTCGTCGATATTTGCCCTGGAAAACAGAAAGAGATGAAGATGTGGATTATTTTGGTTGAACGACGGAAGCATCTTGATGAGTAAACACCGGAACAGATTAACAAAAAGACGTCGTTGTTGGATCTGCTTTTCATTTCTGTGATTTAATATCATATTGAAAATGTGTTCAGTGTAAGACTGCACAGTATATCGAAAAGTATCGTTATCGCGATAATAAAAATAATAAATAAAAAAAATAATACAAAATAAAAAAATAATAAAAATATACATTTTATTTATAATGCACTTTTATTAGACCCGAAGCACTAACAGGCATACAAGACAAAAAAAGCAGAACAATAAAAACAGTAAAAAAAGACCACAATAAAACAATAAAATATGAACCATTCAATATAACTGGATGATAAAATTAACAAAAATAATTAATCAAAAAAGTTAACCAGTTAAACTCCAGTGCAATTTTTGGGATTTCCGCCCGGATTTTGCCTACATAAATTTAAAAGCTTCCCAAATCCACATGCAGAGGTGTAAATGCGATATCATTTTAAAGAAAAAAATCTGATCTACTGTATTAAATATTTTGAATTGGTACTGAACTAAATAAATATTAAAATATCAATATTTAATGATCAGAAAACAAAAGCAAAAATAAAAAGTTCAAATTAAATACAAAAAAGTCACAAAACAACTGAAAAATTAAATGGACAATTAAATACAAAATATAGTACATATAAACTAAGATTTAAAATAAAAAATTATTAAAAACAAAAATCTGGTCTACTGTATTAGATATTCAAAACTGGTACTAAACTAAACAAATGTCAAAATGTTAATCTAAAAAAGTAAAATGATCAGAAAACAAAAGCAAATTAACATACTTTGATTAAATTTAAAGTACTATAACATAAAAAACATACAATTTTAATTAATACTTCAGTGCTATTTTGGGGATTTCCACCTGGATTTTGCCTACCCAAATTTAAAAGCTTCCCAAATCCACATCCAGAGGTGTAAATGCAATATCTATAATAAACACCTAAAAAAAAAAGAGGCGTTTTTTGTATATATTTTTTTATAAACTCAAATCTGAAAGAGTACCTTTTAGGTTCTGTGTGGTCTAGCGTGCTGTAATTAATTTAGGTGGTTCCTGCACATGTCTGTAATCATAGGAAAAAAAGAAAAATGTCTCCACCATAATCTATGCAAAAGTTATTGTACACAGGGAGCGATCATTGTTTTCATCTTTCACTATTCTTTTGTTTGATCAAACATAATTCACTGTGTTTGGACCACATCAGACATATAAAAGGATTACTTATGCACATAACCTCAAAACAGAGGAGAATGGCCCTGAAGAGCACAGCAAAAGGTAAGAGATGACAGCTGTCTGTGCTATCTGGGGCTGCTTATTGATCATAAATGTATTGTTTTCATTTCTGCGCCATGGAAACACCGCGATTCATTCGGCAACTGTTTGATATGTGAATATAATTCAGTAAAAAGAATGCAAGAACTGTATGAGCACCGGGAAGAGCTTTCATTTGAGCTATAACTTTGTACATGTGTCATATGTAAAAATATGAAAATGAACCAATGTTCAATACCCAGCTCGGGTGTCCAAAATACTGTGTATTTAAGTGTAAATAACTTTTGTACAGTAGAATAAAAACCAAAGTGATGCATACGTGCATAAAATATAAATTCTACACTTTCAAACAAAACCACTTACGGGGGTCTGGTGCAGTGCTGGCCCTTTAAATCTTAAAGCGAAAGTCGATGACTTCTTGAACCCGGTACCGGATGTTAAGAAGTTTCTTTAAACATTACAGAGAAACAGTATTCCTGATGCTGATGGGTAGGCCATTCCATAACTTTACGCACTGTACGAAAAAGCACGACCACCCATAGTCTTCAGTTTACAGCGTGGCTGACACAACAAAATTGCAGATGAAGAACGAAGACTGCAGGTGGGAGTGGCCAGAGTTAGGGCGTCCGCGATCACGGTATATGCAATATCTACAGTTGAAGTCAAAATTATTAGCCCTCTTGTCATTTTTTTCGTTTTCAAATATTTTGCAAATGATGTTTACCAGAGCAAGGAATTTTTCATAGTATTTCTGATAATGTTTTTTCTTCTGGAGAAAGTCTTGTGTGGTTTATTATATTCCCCGTGTTCATGTGGGTTTCCTCAGGGTGCTCCGGTTTCCCCCACAGCCCAAACACATGCGGTACAGGTGAACTGAATAAACTAAATTAGCCGTAGTGTATGAGCGTGAACGTGAAAGTGTATGGGCGTTTCCAAGTACTGGGTTGCAGCTGGATAGACATCTGCTGGAAAATAGGGGTGTAACGGATCACGGTTGAGACATGACTCACAACCCACAGTTCAGAACACATGTGACCTGCGAATTAATACCTTTTTCGTAAACTAATCCTAAATTTATAACGAAACGATCACAGAGAGATCGCCTCTGGCGTCAGTCAAATCACCAGTATAAAAGCATTCAGGCTTTCCTGTAAAATATAATGATGATGGAAGAAGGTGTGGTACAGTAGGTTATTCTGGACATGTATGAGTATGTCTCCAACATTTATAAGATTTTCTAGAAATCTTTATGAATGTCTTCAATAGATCTACAGAGAGGCATTAATGCGTTCTGAAGTAAAGTGAAATGGCCATAAACTCCAGCAAGATGAAGTCACTGTATGCAGAACCACAGATATTTGTCTAAAAATAAAGTATAATTTTGGAAACGGTGTTCATCCTAACTGGAAGCTACATCATGTTTGCTGGCCTCACGCATCAGTCAGTCAGCATATAACCTTAAGGGTTAAACAAATAACGCACAACTCTACTATGACAACAGAAAAGTTTGCTCTGTTATAATTCACTTACATTTTAATAAGTTTTGGTGCGATTATAACCCGCTATAAAAAAAAAAAACAGCAACAACTGTAGGTTTTGAATGAGAAGCTGTAATGTAGCTTTGGCGGGAGGAATTTTGGTGTGCGCCCCGTCACGGAAGAATGAATGTAGCGGAAACCATGCAAGCAATTATTTTATAAAATAAAAGTTTTATATATTTTTTTAATCAATTTTTATTTTCACCACATTTGATACTTTGTTTTAAACTTAACAAAACCAAAATATATTATACTTAAAAAAAATAAAACTGCCTGGCTAACACAAATATTATCCAGATTATGGGATTTTAAGGGACCTTGAAAAGGCCAACATTTACTCGTGAATGTCCATGAAGTGTTAAAGGCTTAAGTCATTTTATTAACCCACTTTATCTGTCTTTACCCACCTCGCATGGAACATATTCAATATTAATATATGTGAGAGATCAGGACATCTCGTGCTTCTTGTCATCCTGTGTGTGAAAGGCTTTTCCTCTGAACTCTAAAGGCCTGGTTTAAAGCCTCAGGCTTGACGTTGGGCCACATCACAGAAATCAGAAATATTTTGGCCTGTCATCCAGTCTGCTAATCGCTCTGTCTCTCGCTGTGCTCCGTGTGTGTGTGTGTGTGTGTGTGTGTGTGTGTGCGTTTGAGGGAGGCTGCAGTGCTGATGATGCACGTGCTCTTCATTTAGAGCAGAAACAATTGTGCCTCGAGTACTACGGACACACACACACACACACACAAATGCGCACACACACTTGAGTTAATATACCCGACCCCTCATCATCAACATCATTATTATTAATAATAATAATAGTAATAATAATTTTAAAAATATTTTCTTATTTTTATAATTCTAATTTGATTTCTACATATTTTATTTTACATATTTAATTAGTTGTTAATTGAGTTTCATTTTTATATCTTATTATTTCTATCAATTTATTTGTGTTTTTGGGGTGATACAAATGCATTCACTGTAAAAATAATAATAATAATAATAATAAATACAACAAAATAAAAAACATAGTTTACACACAAACTGAAACCATCTTAAATGTTACACAAGTGCCAAAAAACTAAGGAAGTTGATAATAATAATAATTATAATAATAATAATAAAAATAATGATAATAATAATAATAATAATAATAAACATTATATTTTCTTATTTTTAGAATTATAATTTGAACTCTACATATTTTATTTGACATATTTATCTTGATTTTAACTGTTCCATTTTTATATTTTATTATTTATATCTATTTATTTTATTTGTCATTGTTTTTGGGTGACACAAGTTGATCCACTTTGAAGAAAAATAAACAAATTCAACCCAAAAAATATGAAGTGCCAAACAACCAAGGAAACAGACAAATAATTATAAATAGAGCATAATAATAATAATAATAATAATAATTATTATTATTATTATTATTATTATTATTATTACTACTATTATTATTATTAATATTGTTGCTGTTTTTTTGGGTGTTTTTTATAAATGAATCCACTGTAAAAAATAAAAATAAAAAATACAACAAAATAAAAAATATAGCATCCGCACAGAATGAAACTCTGCATACGCACAGAATGAAATCTCAAACGTTACACAAGTGGCAAACATGTCCAGAACTAAAATGAAATGAAAAGCACTGACTGTGGTTTTGGTCTGGCAGGAAATAAAAAGCTGCAACACCCCTTAACTCACATTAAAAGAGGGACTTTTTGAGATGCCAGTGAGCAACTGTCTAGTAGAAACCACCCAGAATAATCCAAACGCCATATTGCAATGCTAAAAACCCTGAAAACACCTCAGCAATTCCACAGAAACACACCCAGAACTCCTGGAAATGTCACCACAACTCCTCTAAAACTGTTTAAAACATAATCTAATCACAAACCAAAAATGTTTAAAGGTGTATCATTTAATCATTAAAGTTTTCACGTCTGTTGACCAAAAAGAAGATACTTTGAAGAATGTTGAAACTGACAGCCATTGATTTTCATTGTCAATGGCTGCTGGTTTCCAACATTGTTCTAAATATCTTCTTTTGTTTTCAGCAGAAAAAATAAACTCATACAGGTTTGGAACCACTTGAGGGTCCT